TGAGCCAGAGTAGGCGTGGCATTTGAAAATGGCACGGAAGGCGTGGCATTTGAACATGGCACGGAACTGGTTACTCGTGGAATATTCCAGTCTGGGACAACTGTCATCTTGTTCTGTGTTGGACAGAGACACGACAACAATTGTGTCAAGATGAAAATATCTCACCAGAAGCATAGACACCTTCAGGTTAAGTTGAAACATGCGGCCACGCCTACCCGATCTTTTTGAGTTTAAGTTCGAAGTGGTTTACTATTACAGAAACAAATCAAGTGGAGCTAACCTTGGATTGACGGGCTTTCGTAACCTCTTGATCTTTTCCCGATAAACCGCGCCAGCACCGAACACCATAGACCAAAATAACTCCGTCGATATCTGAACTATTGCGTGTGTGGAAAAATCAGCTAAAAGAAAAATTAATTTACAGGATCACCAGGAAAATGTTAAGGATTAATGGCACCCTTCGCGCTGATCACCTGTGCGTAGTAAGGCCTAGCCACTGTCCCCTCCTGATTGGAAAGCCAATGTTGTGGAAAATAAAGGAAACCCTCCCTCATGACGAGCGTGGAATGCGACGTAGAAAACCATCAATGGGGGGAATTTTTCCTGAACTCTCACGATATTGGCATTTCTACTGGGTCATTGTTCGAGGTCATTTTTCCAAGGCAGGGCATAGGGGCAGAAATGATGTTGCAAGAGTCGTCTCCGATGCAGTCCTAGCACCAGGACTTCCTTCATTCAACGGATAATTTTGACAGTGAGCCAATCCGAGCAGATAGGACGATCGTACAGGATTAGCTTGTCACTGCGGCTCGGAGTTCCCGCCAGGATATCCCGAATGCTATTAGAATTTCGGGATATCCTGACGGGAACTCCGAGCCGCAGTGACAAGCTCCCTTCTAGCGCGTTCCGCAGGAAGCCATAAGTGAAGGTGATGAAGCTGCAAACTCTGATTGTCCTATTCGGCTAATGGCAACTATTAGGTTATGCGCTTATTTAAGGCCTTACCCGTTCGCTTTCACTTTCCATTGCCATTTCGTTGTCGATCCTATCTGGATAGCTGACGAGGACAGAGATGTTAGCAAGCTGAAAAGTATTATCCAAAACTGACTTGAAAGTAGATGTAACAGAAGTGGTATGCTGTGCACTTGTACTTTAGAAACGGCAAAAACAGAATAAAGCGGTACCTTGTCCAGAGCCATTGGAGCAGTCACATTATCCAAAATGCGACTTGCTTCAAGCATATGACGATACTCTGCTACGACATCTCGAGAGATTTTCTTCACAAGAGCTTTATTCTGAAAAGCCAAAAACACTGAAATGTTGAAGAATGAAGGAAAAGGTGCAGGAACGCACGTCTCTCGATCTTTTCTCTCCGTCGATCTTTCGAAGGACTGACGGCAGCGAAAGTGGGAAAATGCCTGAGGCTCGCATAATGCAGAACTCCTTACGAAGGTGTGGAGGCCCAGAGTAGATCTCGACAACGCTCTGAAAAGCCGCTCATTGTGACGAACACATTTGTTGTGATCATCACGATTACACTTCTGCAGTTAGGAGTTTTGGTCCCTTCAAAGGGCGTAAACACTTTTCATTGTGGCAACGCGTCTTGGTCTTCACAAATTAGTGGTTCCACCGTTGAAACGGAGTAGTTTCTCTGTCACGCCCGCGAGTTACAAACTTGATCGAAGACGATGATTTAATGGAATGGCTATTTTACTTGGATATAAGTTTAATCTGACACCCCGTGAACACAAAAACAAAGGGAAGCGCCCTACACCTACCGTGGTAGACATGCAAAAAGTGCGGTGCTCTTAGAAACCTTTCTCGGAAAACTGCATCGTCATCGACGATCGCAGAATTGCAGTTTGATATTTTCCGAACGATCATTAACGAAAATTCATAGCAACGAGTAATTTTTCAAATGAAACTCAGGAAGAAAGTCTTATTTTGGCTTTTTCTTTAGAAAATGAAAAAGTGTGATATTCTGCAGTGGTTGCCCGTTCTTGTCAATGGATATTTGCACCGTACCAGTAGATACCATATTGGTCATAACTTTCTCCACTGCGCTCCTGGCTTTCAAGCAGCACTCTTTTTGTGACAAGGGCTTTTCGTAGAATTCGTACATAGAATGCGTGCCGCATTCCAAGAAATGATAAGCGGCGAAGACTTTATCCTTTTTCTTTCAGTTCTTGATAAGAAGAAGTCAATTTATAAACACTAGAAGACCCACCCAGAGGTAGCCTTCTTTGCAGTTCGGCTTCACATAAGCCAAATGGAAGAACAACGTTTTCCATTTTATGTAGTTCCGTATGACAGCTTGTCCTCCGCTGGTCTCCAGATATTCAAGCAGTATCTGCGAGAGTTTCATAAGCCATTCTCGACCAGTTTTCAGAGCGATCTTCTCATGAGCGTGGAGATCTTCTCCAGTCAACGACGACAGGAATAATCGCCAGTTTAACTGTAAAATACGAATCCAAATTTCTGAATCCTCGTACACTCAGCATCTCGAAGATATGAGGTGTGGCTCCGTACTTCATTCAAACATGGTATAGTATTCATTTCTAGTAGGATGTGTCCATTTGAGGAAACTGTCATCATGTCTTGCGCGGGACGAACATGGCAAGGAAATGATTTCAGTTGTCCCAAAAGGCAATGTTCCAACAAATGCACAGATGCCGCCAAATGAAGTACGTCGTCATGCTCTTCCCATCTCCGAGATTCGGAGAATGATGTACATTTAATAGAACTCACAGCTGGAACTATGGTCTGCAGCTCGGCCAAAGAGATCACTTCATAGCGTTCTTTTTTGTGCTTATAAAACTGAAAAATGCATTTGAAAATATTGTTTTACAGTTTCCTTCGTGCTATAATAACAGTCCGCATGAACCATCAGCCCCTTCCCTGAATGATTGGAAAACCTCCATTCAGAGAAATTTTGGTAATCAGTGGCACGTAGCGATAAGGTTTCGAAAATATCTATTATACTTGGTTTTCTCCGCTAAAAGCGCTCGGGAACGAGGTTGGAGGGGGGGGGGAGGGGGAGAGAAGGGCTGATAGACGAGCGCCGCATGGTTTACGGACAACTTGAACTCACTCCCTTTAAACGCGTCAAATTTGTGTTGTTCTCTGCACTCTCTCGTCCGCGTTCCATTTTGTGGTCATTGTCACCTCACATATTCCAGCTTTTCAGCCATGGTAATGTGGCTCACCCACCCCGGAGTCCCCTCCCCTTGGAAAAGCTCAAACCAGGGCTCACTTAATTTTCTTGTACATTTCGATGTTCTGGCCGCTGTCTACTGTCTGCCTGCGCTACATGGTTTCGCAACAGGTCCACCACCAAGAGTTGAAGATGTCGCGTAACACGCCTTTCGGCTCCGTCCGCACTCCTAGCCTGCCAGCCACACTAGCAACTATAGCCAAACGCGTCACTTGTCTACCCCCACGCTTCTGTTGTTCACTGCAGAGTGCATGTTTCGCTACTAGATCATGGTATCGAAGCAAGTACTGCACACTGAGAATAGCGCGAGCAGACTATGGAGACAGCAGCTGGGTATTATTGCAGTCCAATGCAATTTTGTTCGGAGAAAATTCACATTGGTGTAGCAACAGATCTATACACACGCGGGGCTGTCCGTGGAAATCACGGTAGAGTTTTGTTGAGAGAAGAGGTAGGACTGGGTAAGATCGAACTTCACAATTCAACGTTCTGCCTTCGCCTTCTCAAACCCAGTAAGCTTTCAAGTGGTAGGACATCCGCGACGCAGCAAGTGAGGCGAAAGAGAGTTACAAATCTGAAGAGGTATGCGTACCAGGTTCGAGTCGATTCTAATGCAATACAATGCAACTGTAAGTGATATAGAATACTCTGGCAGATTGCGCGCGATGCAGCGGCTTGGACATACTCAGTTACACCCGCCCTTAATATTTATGGCATACGCTGCAGGCAACTCGGTCCCCGGCTTGAGCGATTCTTGCCATCGATTTGGTGAAACTGTTTAGTTATTATGGAGCGCCATATTTCACGCTGAGCGAACAAAAGCTAGGCGGTGTTCGGCTTGGCATGGGCATTATGCACTTTTCGCAGGCTCCTTCCAAATTTGAGCGACTCCTTCCAAATTTAAGCGGAGCTCAGCTGTTACATTACCAGGTCTCTAGGAAGTATTGGCAGTGTTTCGATGGGAACTTCCGAAGTGCCTCACCAAGCCGATCTGCACCCAAAAACTATTGCGACCGTGCTGCATAGAAACGAGAGAATCGGAGACGCGCCAGGATCGCGAACTGTGGATGCTCCGCGACTTGAGATGCCTTGTAAGTCACTTTTCTGGCTATCAGTTTTCCCGAATCTATGTGAACTTCGTGGAACGTGGTTGAGCACCTTTGTGAGGCCGTTTGTCAAAAATCTCATTTACGCACCCTACTGCCACTAACAGTGATCCTCCATTCCAACTCAATCATCCGAGCAATCATCGTCCGGAGGGCTGGATCAGTGCGATCGAAACCGAGTAATACGGCCATTTCCTCGCCAGTTTCTTGGAGCAACGACGTCGCCTGTGGAGAGTGATTTTGGAAATGATTCACAAACCATGAGATTATCTCACCTGAGGACCCTCCTTGTTGAGAATCATCTCCGCTGTAACCGGTACATCGAACTGATAGACGCTTGGATTGAGCAACAAAGGAAGCTGTTCATAAATCTGACCAAAGAGCATTTCTGACTAAACTCTCCAATAACTACGATGAGAGTGGAACTCACAGTAATAAGATGAGTTTTCGAGTCGAAATAGTTCACTTCGACTCCAGCCCAAAATAGAGGAAAAACTGAATAGTTGAAAGCCTGTAGTACTGACAGCTCGATGGGTACTGGTTGAACATCTTGCACTAGTTCTCTCATCCAACCACCTATTTCCTGTAGAAAAATACGATTTTCCTAATTTTCATTCAATCGAGTGAACTTAGAGATGTGACAAAATGCATTTTTCCTAGAGGTTCATCCACCGTAATGGTGCGCTTGGAGCCCAGCTCACTATTTCCTTCATCGTTAGCGACCTCATCCTTGAAACCATGAAAGAAAAGGGGCTAGCATCAGTGAAGAAAGCACCGTCGGGCCAGCTATGCCCATGAAGCATGCGTAGAAAGTGCTCTCCAGCTACTCCTACAGAAGTTCCGAGAAAGTTGTTCCACCACCGGGCTGCTCAGGGAATTTACTTCAATTATTCTTTTTTTTCAATTATTTCAACTATTCAGTCAAAGGCTTATAGGTATAACCGTAATCAGGCTATTACGGTGACCTTTCTGGAATCGCAAGCCGTACGTCCTTTGTAATAAATCCCGTCCTTTGCAAACCACTATCTTACTACGGAGGCACCGAAATGTTTCA